AAATTCCCGCAGAAAACCATTTTAATGTATCTTTCTCAACCCTTAAATTTGACTTAAGCACCATAAGCCATAAATAATATGAGAGCACCGCTGTGAACATGAATATTGGATAGAAAAAGAATAAATTAAACTTGTATTGAATGATGCAGAGAGGGGTGATGAAGGCTTTTATTTGAATTTGGTCACCATATATCAGGAGAGAAGGGATGGAAAAGATTGAGTACCCAAGAACAGATATACAAGTTTGGAAAATAGTCCATTTGGTGACGAATGGAGGTGAGCGTAGAAGTATTATCATCAGACATAGGTTGAATAAAATGCTTATAAACTGAATGCCGAGGTAAAGGATCTGTAATGGAGAGTAGGTTGGAGGCATGTGTGCATGTATGCTAATGAATAATGACGAAATACAAAGGATGAAGTGATTTCCTAAATAATACCTATACTATCATACTCAGATTTTTTAAGTTTTTTTTTTTTTGATACTTGATTACTAATTGAATGTTTACTTGGTGGATTACGTAACTCGTTGCTTCTTTGCAAATTATATATGACGATTTGTAGTTATAAAGTTTGAAAAGGTGCAGCCGTTGAGTCTGCTACGTGCTGTGCGTATGTGTCTCCACGCGAAATTAAGCGTATGTTCGTATCGGGTATGTATGCACCCTAGTGAAACGATATGCCAGATTATCGTAATGGAAGGTTACACCTGAAATACTTACTGTCAATACAATACGTATTTTCCGTGCCGCGTGACTTAGTTAAGCGCATTCTCACCGTTTTGTGCATTTCCGAAGTTTCATGTGGCTGTCTACACAAATCTTTTGGTTCTTTCAATGATCATATATATATTATCGGATTGTTTGACACCAAAGAAAACTGAAGACGCGTCATCTTGGACGGACAGTACATTTTATATTGGTGACTTTACATCGGCTTTTAGGTATGATTGTTTAAATACTATCTCCTTGTTTAAATTCTTGAGAACAAATAAATTTCTTAGAGATACGTTACAATCTATGATGAAATTTATTATTATTTTTAAGATACACGTTTATATAGCCGCTTACAGAAAGAATACTATACTAAAGTGATTCTGACAAAATTTTCGTCCCTCTTGCATTCATAGTGGTATGGCATTGTTCCTCTTGTTCGGCACCACGCGTTACGCTGCACTCTTCCTTCCTTGCTGCTATTACAGACATCTCGAATCTCTTGTTTACTATGATAATAATTACGAGGATCACTCTATAAACAATACTTGCGCTACGAGGAGGAAGAATTCAGCCCTTATAACTTTGGGAAATTTGAATAATGGTGCAAATTCAGATGTTATGAAAGTTTGCGAGGAACGTGCAACTGGTATATGCGAAGAGTGCGAGAAAAAAAGAAAAAACGAAACTACATAATTGCGATATAATAATATATTCACGTGAACGTGGATGTATTGGATAATGTTATGAATAAAAATAATCGAAAAATATGAACAATTTAAGGACTTGGGCGTAGTGACGGAAAGATTAAGGAATTAAGTAAAAATAGAATAGATATTAACATAAATGGAATCTTACAGCTGTATGAAAAAATACTGTATATTAAAAAATTTTATACATATAGTATGATTAATGGCTTGTGGCTTGTATGCTTTTATTATATTTTAAGGATTAGCTTCCCCGATTGTATTTATTGCACTATATATTCCCTGCAAAACACACAGCATAAAATTTGCTTATCCTACCTTTAAATAAGTTAATACAGTAGAAATTCAATTCTCGTTCTTAAGAAATTATTATTTATTGTCTTTAAGATGCATAAAATTGAGAGAGAAATAAGGTTTAGTAATTTATTTTATAAAAGAACGCCTGTAATCTTTTTATTTAATTTCTGTCACAATCTATGATAATTAAACCGTTTTATTTTTCTTTTCCCTTTAATTTAGCCATTAAAATTTAACTTAATTATATATATATATATTTTTTATTATATTTTTTATACATTTTTAATGAGATATAGGTTTTATAAATTATCAATTATAAAAGATATATTTGTACTGAAAAATCTTTGTTTTTTACCATATCCCTGATGTTTAAGCAGTTTATCTAATTATTTTGTAATTTTATGTTTTTCGATTAGCTATTTTGAATTCTTTAAAAAAATAAAAGTCTAAAATTCTTTTAGGATATTAATAGATTAGTAAATTTCATCAAATAATTTAATACATACACAAATACAATATGTTACAAGCAAAGATAAATTCTTAAAAGAGGAGGCAAAACGAAAATTAAATGTTTCTTACTAGAAAACATTAAATTAATAACTACCCACAACAGTTCTCTATTGTTTAAATTATTGATTTATAGTATTTTTTGAACTTTATATTTATCAAAGAGTTATAAGTTTCAACCTTAAAAAAGAACATAAGTGATCTAAAAAATTTTATGTATTAAATATTTTAAGGAACCTATTATTAATTTTTTTTTTTAAAAAAAACACTAAACTCACCTATTTTATTAATTATAATCTTTATATATACTTTGATTTACAAAGAATATTGTAAACTATTTTCAATGTTGAGAATATAATAAAATTAATTAATAATAAGTATTCATCATTATTAATGATAAGATTCAGTTTTTTATCTCCTGTGACTTATTGTTTCTAAAAAAAAGGTGATATACTTAGATTTTATTAATATATTCAATAAAAATATCTTAAATTTTTTTTTTTTATAGTTGGTTCAGCCTCCAATTATTTTTTAGTAAAACAGTTACTTTGATATTACATCATATTATCTATTTCAAAGTTAGTTAAACTTCATGAACTATACTAACATATTCAAAAAAAAACAAAAAAAAAAAAAAAACTCTTTCCACTGATCCTCTGACCATATACAAAAAAGATGTTTGCAAGAAGTTTCAATACTTCTATGCTAATAAAGTCTTACTACTTTCTTTAAACAAACCCAAAAAGTTTTTTTAGAACTCCCTTATTATCCCTTCTTTCTTGTCTACAATCTCTTTTGAACAAACTGAACTCTTGTGGCTTGCAAAGTTCAGTTCCTACCTTTACTACCT